GCTATTTGAAAAAGGGTTTTGAAAGGGGGAAGACGATTGAGCAAATATTCTTAAAGCATACCACTTTGTAGAGAATTGTTTGCTCCACAAGATATGAGAGTTTTTAAAGTAACTGTCTTTAAGCTGTAACTGTTTTTAAGGTAACTTCTCAGTTGTAAACTGTCTTAATTAATCTTCATTAATAAAAGAAAAACAAACAAAATGGTAACGCATTCACGAAAAATGGCCAAAAATGTGAGTGCGTTACCATTTTCTTTGTTTTTCTTTTATTAATGAAGATTAATTAAGACAGTTTACAACTTTAAAAACTCTCATATCTTGTGGAGCAAACAATTCTCTACAAAGTTGTATGCTTTAAGAATATTTGCTCAATCGCCTTCACCCTTTCAAAATCTTTTTCAAATAGTCCCAAAATCGACTTTTGGGCTCCTTGTAAAATAACTGTATTTTCATAACTAATCAGCTTTCAGAGTCGAGACATTTCCCATTTTGTAGAGAAATATTTATTCTACTAGATCATCTATTTCGAATTTGAAATTAGTTCCTAGCTTTATTGCAACGATTCTTTGAAAATGAGTGAAAAAAGGGAATCGTTAGCCAGACAAGCCGAATAGTTGAAAACTTGAAACAAAAACGAAAAAGTGCTCCATTGTTTCTAATCAGTTCTGAAAATACGAAGCTCCAGCGACTTTTAGTTTTTATTTCACAGCATTTCTACGAAATGCCCAAAAAGAGGAGAGGGTACCCTTAAGGATTCTCGAAAAAATTTCAGATATGACATACCTGCAATTAGTATTTGTACTATTTTATCTGGAATCTATGATTCTAACGAGTATTGCTAGATTTAGAAATCCTTGTAGAGTATTCTAGCATAGTTTATAAGCTCTCATTTCCTTTAGTACACGCTTTATTCTTCTTAGATCTGAAACAGCCTGTAAAAGAAAGGTCAATCGCAATTAAAAATTGAACAAAGCTTTTAAATAATTCCTAAATAGTACTTTTGTATAGATGATAATGTCTAGATTTCTTTATTGTAAAGTTCAAAAAAGGCTATTAATTGTCGCTATGTCATATCTGAAACAGTGAATTTTTTCAACAATCCTTAAAATATTTTGCTCGGGTTGAAAATGGTACTAGTAGATACAGAACAACCTGGTGATGTTCATGCACACTATTTGGGATGTTCGTGGATGTTCATTGGAGATGTATGCATAAAAACGCATAATTATAAAAAAACTTTTGGGTGTTCGCTGGGTGTTTCTGTGGTCAGTTCGACGAGCTCTATCGACTGGTTAACTCAGATTTTAAGTTTGAGAGTTAAGAATAAAATCATCTTTTTTTATCTTCGACGCCAAAGTACAAGACCGGTGATTATTTTTTGAATAACTCAAAAGGAATAAAAGATAGAGACTTGCAATTTCCATCATTTGCTAGCCAAGATCTGAAGCTATGTTTTCATAAGCAAAAACGAATTTGGGAAAAATTTTAAAGACCAATTTTGCAGGACATCTGTGGAAAACCAGTTCGGTTTTCTGGAAACTGACATAGAAATTTATCGATGTTTTTTCATAGATATATGGTCCTGTGTAAAATTGCATCCAAGCGACATTTTGGAAATACATGGTTCGGAAGCGATGGACGTTTTTCCTGAAGCCTTAGCACTTCTCTGTCGTTAGTTTTGGAACTTGTTAGAAAAGAATGAAAACATAGATTATCGACTATGCTGAATCTGGTGGCAGTGTTAGTTTTAAGAACAAAATGCAAGTACCGACAGAAAACCTATACTAGGTGAAATAATCCATTTTTGATTATTTTCATTAAAAATTAAAAAATTCATAACTCAGTCAAAATCCATCCAACCTACTTCAAAAAGTCCCGAAATACTCTACTTTATCTGCAACAAACCGTAAAGTTTAATAAATGTTAAAAAACCAACAGAAGACATTAGGGTTTCCAGAAACGTTTAGCAGAAACCGTCCGAACTAAGAGAATATTTTTTATTGATTTTACGTACTGAATTATGATAAGCGGATAAAATAGAATATTTTCGAACCATGAATTTCCAAGATGTCGCTTGGATGCAATTTTGCACAGGACCATATATCTATGAAAAAACATCGATAAATTTCTATGTCAGTTTCCAGAAAACCGAACTGGTTTTCCACAGATGTCCTGCAAAATTGGTCTTTAAAATTTTTCCCAAATTCGTTTTTGCTTATGAAAACATAGCTTCAGATCTTGGCTAGCAAATGATGGAAATTGCAAGTCTCTATCTTTTATTCCTTTTGAGTTATTCAAAAAATAACCACCGGTCTTGTATTTTGGCGCCGATAGTAATTAGAACACAGGAATACTGCGCACTCTCCCGTTATTTGCAGCCCTGCATAGAATCTCACAAATTAAAGAGAAAAATAAAAGAGAGTCTACTCATTGACATTCATAGTAAAAAGAAAGTGAGAACCTTATATTCTTAAAGGACTTCTATGTTGAACGTTTTTTGAGGATGAATCATACTACATATGATATAGAAGGAGTGAGAAGAGAAAATATTTTGTTGTTCTACACACGTGTTATTTATCTTTTTCTATATTAGAATTCACTTTTTGCATATCAGTCTGACTGATGATGTCTTTAGAATAAAGACGTCTCATTTTGACATTAGTCATTTCAACATGAAAACGGTGATTTTATTCTTAATTACTATTTATAAAATTTTTCTCTTTAAACAAAAAGTCAGTAGTTTGGGGGTGTTTGCGTCTTTTAGTAATACCCTATGAAATGATAAGTCTGAATATTGTGACAAAACTAGACTCTTGCGATTAATCAATATTATTAGTATAAATGCGGTTTCTGTGGATTAAAGGTATTCGGATCTGGAAGTTTTCGATAGTTAATCTATTCAGCTTTATCTTTAATATATTTTCTGAGTCTAACAGGTGCTTGAGAATTGATCTCTCATTTTATATTTTGTTTATATCTCCATGCAATTTTATCCAGCAACCTTGAATTTTCTTGTCACTTTTATTTTCGTACATTTTGATACTTTGGCACAATGAGTCTCAGAACTCTTTTGGGTACTGTAATACTCACAAACCGTTTTTTAGATCTACAAATAGTATTTGGTTTTCTGTTGAATATCGTTTGTCACCCGAATATAAATATCCAATTTGGTTAAATGATTGTATTGAAGTAACAAAATATATTATAGAAAATAAGACATTGTATGGTATGAATTAGTATCTTAGTTTCAATACTCGAAGTGCAACTGTAAACATGTTTCTTAACAAAGGAGAAACGTCAACCAAAGTAGGTGTAGCGGGTGATAGTGCTGGAGGAGCTATTGCAGCAGTAATATGTCATACATTAAAGAATATCGATTTTCAGGTGAATATCTAATTTCATGTTATGGAAATTGTTCATAGCAATGTATCTATACTTACAGATACTGGTTTATCCCTTGACAAATATGTTGGCATCTTTTCCAAGTTCAAAACGATTTACTGACGTTCAATATGGTCTAATACCGATACTTAGACATTGGTATAAAAGATTTCCTTAACACACACGATGTTGTGAATGACATTTTATTATTCAAGGTTTAACGATAATGCAATTCGAGATGGTAACGATATGAGAGATGCTCGTGTATCTGTGATATTTCAATCATCATTTACTGGTTTACCGCCGTGTCTTTTTATCGTTGCTGAACTAGATCCATTGCTTGACGATAGTTATGGTAAAATTTCAATTTACTAATGAGATCATTATTAAAATTTGTTCATATTTGATTCAGAATATCAGAAATTATTGGATAAAGCTGGTATAAAAACAAAACTTGTACTTATCAAAGGTGTTATTCATTCATTTTTTCATCTACCAGGTAGTTATGGATATCTTTATGCGATGTTAAAAATTTGTTCTATTCAAAGTTTTATCAAACATTCTTTTTTATTTCTTTTTTTTAGGAATTTTTCCAAAATCGTGTCAACAAGCAGTAGAAGCAATTCGTGATTTTGTGGCTCAAGTTTAGCGATAGTTGTATGGAAAATATTTTATAAACATCTGATTAGTTTCTCAATGAATATACAAAGAAAATGACATAAATATGTGATGGAAATTCTACCGATTAGAAATATTTTACAAAGCAGGAGAAAAATAATCCTCTTAACTATTCCCTCTCCAGTTTTATACGAATTTTATGTGTCGATATGTACAAGCGCATGTTTGATATTCTAACCGCTGTATAAACTAATAAATTTTCTAAAATATACCACTTTCATAAGAAGACTTGACACCATTACAGAAAAGTAATGATACAAAGACAAATAACCATCTACATTGTTCTCCAGAACACAATATCATGAGGAAACAGCAATACAGAATACGACTGAGTACCCTCGGCTTTAAATCCCTATTCCATATTCCTATAGTCAAGTACCCATCGAACGGTGATCCAGACGAGGATCGCACACTGATGTCGAAAACAAATTTTTCGAACAATTCCAGTTAACGTTTCTCACATTGAAGGAAGCATTTTTGAGACTCGAGTACTTTTGTCTCGCGACGGGAATCAGAGTAGGAATGAAGTAAGAAAGAGTGATGTGCAGCTGTTGAACTGTTCACTGTTTGGAGTTCTGAAACTTCATTTTATAGAGAATTAGTAGCTCTTTAATCTAAGCTAAATGAAAACATATATCGCTGAGAAGATCGAATACTTATATGATGCAGAAAGTGAAAAACTTGTGTGGAATAAATTATTGAAAAATACTTTAAAATCATTATGAACAGAAAGAAAAGGCGGTTGTTTTTTTTTACAACAAGTACATCTGATGCAGTTTTTTTTCTCTTTCGTCTATTATGTTTGAAGTTAAGACTCAGTTTGATTTTATGCCAAAAAAAGAATCGCCTAAAAATTTTCCAGCTGCAACCTTTAAATTTAAAATTTCAGTTTAAAACCAATGAGTTCCAAAAATATTCTTTTTTTATCTTACACCTGATATTTCAGATTCACTACTTTTTTAATTCAAATAAATATTTTTATTGGGGAGTAAACACAATCGTATCATCAATCTTTTGGTCTTGAACCTAACCGCTTAAGAAAACCTTTTGCAAAGCCATGAAAGTAACGAAGCAAACAGCTCTTTCAATATCACTAATAGCTTTAACATAGGCCTGTTCAATCCCGAATTAAAACTAAACTTTCAACATAGAATGTCTTTACGAAATATTTTAATCAAACTGGATACTACTTTCCTGCATTCTTAATTAATGTCGCCTAGTCATCCTTAGTCGTAGTTGCGTCATTGTCAGTATCATTGTTTTTTCTTTTTTCCCCTTCGTTTTCTTTGTCACATCTCCTTACAAAAAAGTAAAAAACCATGCTGGTAGAAGAAGAACGGAAAAAGAAAATCTTTGTAAGAAAAACAAAAAATGATCCCGAGTTCTTCGGTACAAATTTTAACGTGCGTTTTAAACGAGCTTTTTTTAAAAATAAACATAAAAACTGAAACTAGTTTTAGAAACTATTATTTTTCTGAAGGCAAAAGGTGAGCAAAAAAATACCAAAATGGGTGAAAATATGTACAGGAAAAAAGTTAAATCATTACACGCAAAATGGCTACTAAAAGCGGAGTACAAGCAGCCATGCATGTTCCTTGTGCAGCGCTGCAAGCCGCGGCAGCTGCAATGGTTGACGTAGGAGTGGACGGTAGCCATGCCCACCATCCAACCGGGCCCGTAGCTGCAGCAGCTGCAGTTGTTACCCCCAGGGTAAGACCGGCTAAACTGTAACACGCTACAGTGCCATAATTACAAGCCGTTTAGTCCTGATGATTAAAATTGAGAACACCGGCAGAACTCCGGTTTTTGCGCTCCTCATTTAGAAAATATGAAATTTCTCAGTGACAAAGCACGATGAAAAGCAAACGATATGTAAGTTACTTTTAAAGCTCGTTTAATGGCGGTTCTAACGAAGTGCAAAAATTAGCTCCATCTTTTCAAAGAAAAAACCAGATAGGTTTGCAAAATTCTTTTTTCTTTTTCTATATTTGTATGTTGTGGGTTTCATGTGTTTGATGAAATAAATTTCAGTTCAGTTCAGATGCTCTTGACATTCATATCTTGAAAATTTCAAATTTTGCTCGAAAACTATATTTTTCTCAAACAACAAACATGTTCTTTTAATGCTTTTGTCACCAGTTTATAGCACGCTTTCCACGCCACAAAACCCAGTATAAACAATATCTTCACTATGCTTCCTTACTGAGTCAAAAAACGTTTGTCATGTCGGTAAATGGTCAAACTATTTAAAACTAATTTTTTGAGAACGATCATAGTTTCAAACCAAAAATTATATATGGTTAGATGCATAATAAAATTCTCTATCGAACCTACTATTCAGTGTTTTGATACTTCACATTTTTAATGCGGCAGAGTTCTTTGTACATATAAACGAACATATGAAATAGTCCGTCTGACGGTAGTTAAAATAAAAGCAACACACAATGATACTAACAGAGAAGGAAAAGAAATAACAGAATAAAATTTAATTCTAAAGAGCACTAGAAAATGAGAGATATGGTTATTTCATTTTTATTTTAATTCTTTGACTGACGCATCCTTCTATATCTTATTCTTCTCGAGTCATTTTTAGAATTAACTTTTATTCTGTTATTTCTTTTCCTTCTCAGTTACTATCATCGTATGTTTGTTCCTTTTAATTTAACTATCGTCTGGCAGACTATTTCATGTGTTCGTTTATATGTACAATTTTCATGTATAAATAACAACTGTCTTTATAGCCCTTTGTACATTTTCCTGATGATCAACTTAGACGGTTCGAAACCTTGAATATAAAGATAAAAAGCGTTAATAATTCTATATAGCGTGTACTACGAACTATATAGAATCGCCTTTAACAAAACAAAACAAAAACAACTGTCGTTTACCGATTTTCCCTCGATTCGAGTCCATCCAAAATTTTTTCCGAGTCCAATCCAGTCCATGGGCTTCAAAGTTTGAGTCTAGTCCAGTCCGAGTCCATGAAATCCAAAAAATTTGAGTCCAGTCCAGTCCATACGGAGCTCTGACATATAATCAAGACTCCAAGGTACTCATATCACTCCTTGGATGTAGTGAACTGCATTGGACTCCAAACTCCAACTCCAACTCCAACTCCATGGAGTTCACTACTTGGATCCCTTTGGTTTACTCTCAGTTCGTCCCAAATTGACTTCTCAATTCGTCCCACGAAGCTTTTTTTCTCAGTTCGTCCCATCAACATTTCTCTCTCAGTTCGTCCCATATCAGTTTGCACTTAATTAGCTTTAA